AGAATACCTTGAGAAGATACTTTGGCTCCTGCAATTCATTTTTCTTTGACTTTGCATCTTGCGCTGGAGTTTGTCAATAAGCACACAAGAGGCCTTTGAGGAGTTTCTGTATTAATCTATTATGGTAGGGGTTCTTGAACCTCAGTACTTAAGGAAACATTTAAGGATCTTATAATAATAAATACTCTGGATACCACACCATATCTATGAATTCATAGTCTCCTAGAATAGAGCTAAGAAATCACTCAACAGATGATTAGATTGTAGGCAGTCTTCAGTTCACAGTATGAAGAACACTACTTCATGTCATATTTCAGTGAAAACTGCCTTCCAGTGGCTTATGTTCTTTATCACTGGAAGAAGCTAGAAGTCATAGTCACAATAATAAATCCCACTTACTGGATCATTCATCAACTCCTTAGAGCTGTAGATGAAGCAAGATTATAGACAACTTGTGAACATCTGCTTACGACCTACTGAATGTCTGATCCTAACTTCAGAAAGATATAATACTAAAATGTACGTATGGTTTTAACTGTATCCAGGAAGTCAATAATTTGGACAAAATCTAGTTAAAGACGAAATACACACTAAAAGGAGCAGTCTCTCAAATGTCTCTCTCACTGCCGCTATCCATCTATAGCCTATTCATTTCTCACCATAAACTGAGTTAGCAAGAAATCAAGGTTAAGGAGAAATCAAAGGAGTAGGGAAGAAACTTAATTCATCTAATTTTATGACTTACTAGCAACTAAAAGAATCTCATGATAGGAAGACTGGAATGAATAGCTAAAATGTTATTTTTAGACTATCTGTGAATTTCATTTGCTCTCATTGCCACAAATGATGAAAAATTAGCTGTGAGAAATTTCAAAGCAAGAGAGCAAAACATCATAGAAACAGGAATTAATCAACTAACCATCTTTTGGAACATTTTTTTTTCTGTTAGAATTCTTCAGGTAATATGATGAAGATAACAATACCATATTTCTTCACAGTATCTTATATATTTTCTTATAGAAAAAAGGATGAGCTGTGGTGACCAATGACACTTATTGGAAAAAAGCCAACTTTGTTCCTGGGCCCTAATTTTATTTACTGAAAGAAACCCTACAGATGATTTGCAGGGCTCAGGAGAATTCACTTTTATCTTTACAACCCAAAATGTACAGATAACTTGTTTGTAAATAACTTGCCAGGATCACAGTCTCAGCTGGGATACTGTCTTAGTTTATTTTGATAACCAGAATTATAACCTCTTTACAACTGGGAAGCGGTGATAAACGGAACTGTAGTTATTCTTCAACAACTCCATAAAACTGGCATCCTGATACATAGTTGCATGGGTTTCATCTAACAAAACATGGAAGTCTTTCTTTTTAAAGGGCTCAAAAATTTCCTGCAACAGATTTCCAAACTGTTTTATTCCTCTTGCTACACAGTTGTTTTGGCCTAGTAAGGAGAATATATAGAATATAGAGACATCTAGCAATACAGGCAGTCCCTGACTTAATGACAATTTGACTCACAATTTTCTGCTTTACAATGGTGCAAAAGTGATATGAGTTCAGTAGAAACTGTATTTAAATTTTGATCTTTTCCCAGGCTAGGGTCGTGTGGTAGAATACCTACCTCTCATGCTGGACAGCCTCAGCTAGCCACTGTTTCCATTCAGCCATGCTACCACAAGGGTAAGCAGCCAATACACCCGCAACCATTCTGTACACATACATTCTGTTTTTCACCTTCAATACAGTATTCAATAGATTTCATTACTTCATTATAAAATAGACTTTGTGTTAGATGATACTGCCCTACTGCAGGCTAACGTTAAGTGTTCTGAGCGTGTTTAACGTAGGCTAGACCAAGCTATGATGTTCAGTAGGTTAGGTCTATTAAGTGCGTTTCCATCTTACAGTGTTTTCAACTTATGATGGATTTATAATCCCATCGTAAGTCACAGAAGATATGTATAGAGTTAAAAATTAGTGCATATCTATTCCATATCACAAAACTACATCATTAGTTACATAAAGTTACATTTTATTTAATACTATAATTGCCATTTACATTTAAAACATTGAGAGTTAGATTTTTAAATATGTCATGAAACTCTGATGTGTTGGTTACTTTACAGTGTAAAGTGCACTTACAGACATGTCCTTATAGGGATTATGAATTGACTTTTTTTCCTCATTGTAGCACTACCCTGTCTCAATAGTGGCTATATTCCTCAAGGCTGTGAAATAATCTCTGGAAAATACACATGCTCCCCCATTGAAGAGTGACTAATGAGAGCGTGAATATGCTCCTTTTGTGTTCAAATTTAAACTCTTCCTCCCCACCCCAGCCACTTTCCAGGCCTTTCCTTTAAGACCACCTAAAGCAAAACTAGAACTGTTCAAACTTGGAACCAAAGAAAGAAAACGAGTTAAGAAGCTGAGCTAGATTTAATTATCTCTTTAGAGTACATTGCCTATAGTGAATTGTGTTTAAAAGTATCAGTTTTTCAGGTTTGGAACATTCATTTGGTCTCTCAAAAGGGCCTGCTTTGTAGATGTAGGGCACTTGTAATTTTCCAGCTGGGTTCTTGGTTTGCTTAGCTAATTCTGTGGGTCCCAATGCGCAGTCCACACCTGAAAAGGGGGAGTTTTCAATGTTGTGGCTTATTAACCAGGTACTTTCCATTCACTCAGTTAACAATTAGAAAACAGAAAAAAAGAGAGTAAGAGACAGAGAAAGCCTCCTACTTGTTTTTTTACTCCAAATATGGAGATGGAAACTGTTAAACAAATAAGAAGGAGGGGAAACTCCCGCATATTTCACCTTGACCTGGCTGGACTGGTCTGATGCCTGTAAGAGGCGGGTACCCTATGAAAGACTTCGGGCAGGCTGCTAGTGGAAAAATGAGAGGTCAGACTTTACCACAGGGAACCACTCCTGCCCCTAGAGGAAAAAGAAAACCATCACCCTGTGTCTCAGACTGGAAACAGTGCCTTGTTTTCAATCCGGGGGACTGGGTTCCCTCCCCCGGCCTAGAGTGGTAGTGACAAGGATCCCAGTAGGCGCGCGGCTTCTCCGACAGTTGCCCAGCTTAATATCCGCTCCCTTTTTGCACCTAAATTTCTGAGCTGCAAGCAGGCAGAAACGCCCTGTCTCGTCCTCTCCTTTGCTTCTCTCTTGCTTCGCCGCACTTTTTAACTTCTTTGTTCCGTTTATTGGAAAGGTGACGCTTAAGGTCAAAAGACCCACTGTCACTAGCAAAACCCAGAGCCACCACCAGACCCTGGGAAGAACAAGGCTGTTCAGCCCAGGGTTGAGACTCGGAGAGGAGAAGGAAGCGCGAGAATTTCAGCTAGCAGCTCCGGGTACGGCCTCTGCGGACTGGATCAATTCTCCAAGTGTTGGGGAGATGCCGGACGGTCATGGGGTGGGGTAAAGGGTGAGCTCCTAAATCTACCATCAGAGTTGGCAGTGCGCACCCGCGGAACGGAGGGTGTTGGGGGCGGGGAGAGGGCCCCATACTCTGCTTTGTACGCTGCAGCTGCCGGGCAGTGATTCTTTCCGAACAAAGGAGCGCAGAGTGCCCGGGTGAGAGGCTGGGGTTTGTGCGCAGCTGCCATTAGTACTGAGCGAGTCTTCGTACGGGCTAGGGGAGCGTTGGGCTGTAGGGATTCGGCGAGCAGGGGGAAAGGGAACAGGGGGAGCGATTCTTGTTGCGCAGCTACGCATCGGGAGCTCTTGTGAACGGTGGGCATGACAACTATCAGAGCCAAGGGGGAGAAAAAGGGCTGGAGTGAGCAAAACAAAGAGCAAGTGTGGGCCGCGGTGACTTCATGCCTCACCAATGTCCCGCCCACGCTGCTCCGAGCTCTTGCTTGCTGCTGCTGCTGCCGCCGGAGCCGCCGCTGCGCCTGCAGGCGGCCGGGGCAAGGCGCTGGGTAGCGTGGGGCGGTTTCCTAGCAACTCGCGGCCCAGAGCGCGCCCAGCTATCCACACTTCGGGAGCCCCCCCACCCCGGGGCCGGAGCAGGACCACTGCTCCCCCGCCCCTCGCCAGCCTCGCTTCCCTCGCCTCCTCGCGGGGTGCACCGCAGAGTGCGCCAGCTGCCCGGGTTCTGGACGGCGGGACGCCTGAGCCGCACACTGGGGGCCAGAAGGACGAGGGCACGAAGCTCCCGCCCCGCGAGGCCGGGCTACTGCACCCTCGCGGAACCTCCCCTCCTGTGCTAGCGGCCGTGCGCTCCACTCCCGGCCAAGCGGGGAGCTGCTATGCCTCGCTCTGTGTCCGCGGACGCCGGCGGGGACTTCTAGGGTGCTGCCGGAGCCGTTTCCCCCAGCTGCTGGCACCCCGCGCTTCCTCCCTCGCCACCCAGGACATTGCCGTTTTGACTTTGCCCGCTGCTCAGCTGACGAGGCTGCAGAGCTGTAACTAAGTGGAATTGGCCTCCCTGCCCACCTGTGGAATTATTAGCTCGCGCTGATTGATGCGCCATCGACTTTTTTCCCCTTCGGCCTCGCCGGCGTCCCCTCCCACAGATGTAGCATCACCCAGTGATAGTACTTTAGGCTGGTTTTTCCCCCAGGCTTCGGGCTTTGTTTGGGTTTGATTCTGTTTGGCTGTTCACTAAGCTGATTTATGCAGCAGAAGCCCCATCGGCTGGAGAGAAACAAAAGCTCTTTTCTTTGTCCCAGAGCGGGCTGCGGAGGCTTCGCTCGCGTCGCCGCCCCGGGCCATTGACCGTCAGAGGAGGTGCTTCTCGCGGAGACCGCGGGACCCGCCGAGCCGAGCTGGCAGGGCCTCGGGGGCCCTGAGATGCCAAGCGGTGTCCGGGCCAGCGTACCTGCACTGCTTGCTCCGAGCCGCAGGGTCCGCCTGCTGGGCCTGCGGGCAACGTCCTAGCGACACTTGGCCCGCGGGCCCCGAGGTGCGCCCGGGAGTCGCCAGCGCGCAGCCGGATAGCAACCAGGCGGCGGGCGCGGTGCGGGCTGCTTTGCATTATGTGCCGCTCCGCCCTGGCTTTTTTTACTGCCGCATTTGTCTGCCTGCAAAACTGCCGGCCCGGTCCTGTCCCGGTCCTTCGGGCGGCCTGGGTGTTTTTAGTTGTTCTTGGACTGGGCCAGAGTGGTAAGTTGTTCTGCTTTCTTTTGTTTTCTTCTCTTCCTCAAAGGTCTTGGGCTGTGACGAACATCCTGGCCAGGTAAGTGGCCCAATGTCAGCCTCCAACTGCCCTGAGAACTTCTGAAGGGCGGGTGTGTGGCAGCGTCCTCCATTCAGGCGTCCCGAGGGAGGCCAGGTGTCAAGTATTTCCGCCCCGGAGTGACAGCAGTAACTAATTGTACGAGAAGACTATGTGTTTTGCTCCCGGGTTTGGGGGGAGCAGTAATAGAATGGAAGTTTGGAAGAGTGGAAAGTCATATTTACATAAGCCAATTTAGGGGTTCTGCTCCATCCTTGAAGGCATCCTCCTTGAAGGCATCTTTGAGGATTCCCCCCCCATCTTTTTGTGTGTGGATCCACCTACCACTAGTATTTGATTCAAGGCTGAGGGTACATTGGAGTAATGGGAGTGAGTTTTCTGGTTTTGAGTCCATGAAAGAAGAGGATGGCTGCATCCTCTATCCAGTTTCTTCTATCATAGGGCTCAGCCTGAATGAATTAAACACACTTGCAAAATATTCGTTAAGTCACCACTTTTTCAGCTTCAAAAAAAAAAAAAGTCTAGCTAATTAATCCCTCAGTCACATCAGCCCCTGAGAATAAGACCCTGAGACAGAAACCTAGACCAGGATTGACAGCTTTCAATCCAGGCAAGCCACTTCTATCAGAATTGCCTTGATTTGGAAAGGATACTTCTTTATAATGTATATTGTCCTTATTTTACAAATGAGGACAATATCTCCCATCCTAAATCACAAGAAAAGCTCAGGTCAAATAGTGCATAAAAAGGTGTGTTGGCACTTTTGAATTACGTGCAAATTTAAGGTGGCTGTACTGGATTTTTAGCAAACAGTAAAACGTACCGTAAGTAATGGTAGTAATCATCAATTTGGGATGAGTTCTTGGTTTTAAATACAGGCCAAACATTTATTTTTGCCAATACAATGATTATTGCCAATTTTTTTCTTTTTTTAACTTGCTTTATCTGTGTTTGGTCATCAAGCCCTTAAATTCTGTTAGCACCTTTCTCTGACCTCTCCTGTTGAAGTAGAGTTGTAATTGTTTTGTAGACTAAAATTTTCTCTTATGCTTTCAATTGATGTGGCATGTTTCTGCCTGAAGCTAATAAAAACGATCAAGTCATAATCTTATAAGTAAGAGTTTAACATGGAAACACCCAGCTAGTTTCACTCATTTGTTGCACATATAGTTGTCTAATGTTTGTTTCAAAGGAGAGTTACCCAGTTATGTGAAATGAGAGCAATTAGAGTAAATTTTTGTCTTGTGGTTATTTTTTGGCTTATGTGTTTATTTCAAAATAAGTGAAATTTGAAGGCAAAGGAAATAGTAACATTACCAATTATCTCTTCAGTGGGACTATGCATTGATTGCAGCAGATTTTCCACCGAGTATAATTCCATCTTGTGTTAATATGTGATGAAGTATTTTTCTAGATTTAGTAAACATGCACACATACACACACAAGAGTAAAGTGACCAAGATTGTGTCAATAGAGTATATTTTGTCCCCAGTACATAGACAAAAAAGTGCTACTGGCTTCTAAAATTTACTACTAATAACAGTATTTTAAAAATATTCATTGTGCTTGTAAAGATCAGTCAAGTTCTCCTGCAATAGCATTGTATTTCCATCCAGTGACTATAACTGGTTTGAAGCAAATACTATGAATGGGTTCCCTTGCACCTGCAGTTGTGAAAAGGGAATGCTTATCTGAAATCCAAACAAGGCATCCTTTTCCCAGTCTCTGTCAATATACAAAGGTTTCTGATGTATACTGGTTTGCGTTGCAGTTAAAATCATGCAAAAAATTTAAATTATAGCCAGTACAACTCAGAAAATTAGAGATCAGCGTAAACTGTTGTACTTTCATGATATAGCTACAAGTCTCAAATTATATGTCTTCACAGTGCAAATTAGATGCTTAAAGCTGAGTAGAAATTTAGGTATCAGTTACAAAAGAAATTTTGTTCCCTTGCTCAGTAGGTTACACCAAGGAAATGCTGAGGACAATAAAGCCATACACAAGGAACCATAAACTGCACAACAACATAACTTTGGGTTTAATTTTTGAAGTAGGATCTATAGGTCCCAAATACATGGTGGACTTTTAATAATGAATATATGGTGAGCAAGGGGGATGTTGTTAATAAATCTGACTATTTTTCTGATCTAGAAAAATGTTTTTCAACTTTCCCTGGTGGAAATCACCGACAACTGGAGAAACAATAACAGTATAAAATGGTTAATGAGTAACTGGAAAACACTAAAGAATACTTAGTGGTTAATATTTGAAGAGTTAATGTAGCAACACTATTGTTTCTACATTTGCTCGCTTTGAAAGGTTAAAAATCTTTTTTTACCTAAATTTTTATATAGCAATATAAGAGTGACAAATTTCAGAAATTACCGTTTATTTTTTTTTAAAATGTTAGCTATTATTGCAATGAAATTTCACCTTCTGTGCATAATCAACTATTTATTCTTTTAAATAACAATCAGCTAGATTAGCATTGTTTTGTAACTGTAATATTATTTTACCTCAGAACATATTTCATATCACAAGTGTTCTTAGATTTCTTTATGCTTACCTAAAGTAAGAGGATTTTTAAGAGAATCAAGGCTTCATTTTTAGAAGTCCAGTTTTCCAAAATATTTGTACAATAAGCATCCAAATTAATTCTATCTTAAAGCAACTGAGACACTTTCTGATAAAAAAAAAAGTGTGTGCTGTATATGAAAGCAAAAGAACTGAAAAATTCCCGTGTCCTCAAATAGCTCCTTCACCTGTTAACAAATTACCAGAAATTTCACCATGTAATGGATTTCTTTGGATTGGGTATGGTATTGACAGTAGGTTTCTTTTAATTTTTAACTTTATATTTGGAAATTTTCAAACACATACAGAAGCAGAGAAAATGGTATAAGGAATCACCATACACCCATCACCAGGCTTCATCAACGATCAACTCAGGGCCAACTTTTTTCATCTCTTCCCCTACTCATTTCATGTCCTTCCCCCAATAAGATTATCTTGAAGCAAATTTTGTATCATTTTATCCTAAAATATTTCAGTAAATCAAAGTACTACTGGAGGAGACACACTATTATTTGTCTCACAGCATGAATTTTTGAGTTGAAATTTAGGACTACAGGAATGTGTACTATGTTTAAAGGAAGAAATGCAGAAATGAGGGAGGAAGCAAAGACAAAGATAGTTTCAACCATTTACTTTTCAGTGATTCTGTTATGGCTGCATTAAAAATATTTCTCTTAAAACTATGCATATGTAACAGCTTTTTGGTATGCATGTATATGAAAAACAATAGCATGAATAAATCTACTTCCCCAGATGAACATCAGTTTTTTTATCCCAGTGGAATCATAGGTATAACTCGTTTTGGGTTTCAGTTTTAAGGATTGTTCCCCCTGTCTCTGGAATCGTCAGGTTTTCTCCTCTCTGCTGGATCATCTATAGCATATGCATACCCATACATGTTGTAATATCTCTCATCTTCTATTTCTCCTCTCCTTCTTAGCAAAAATCCTTGAAAGAGTTGTCCATTCTCGCTGTTCTCCAATTCTCCTCACCTTCTCTTTGAATCCACTGCAGTCAGGCTTGGGTTAATCACTTCTGCAGTTATACCGTCCTGTTAGGATCACAGTGCCCTTCCTATCGCCACAGCAGATAGCCTGTTTATGGTTTTCATCCCACTGGCCTATCATCTGTCAGTGAGTTGACACTGTCGACCACTCCCTCCTTCAAAACACTTCTTTCCTTGACTTCCTGAACCCACATTCTCTTGGTTTAAGCTCCTTCTCTCTCTCTCTGATGTTGGTTCTTCCTCCTGTCCCAACTCTAAATGTCAAAGTGGCTGAGGACTCAGTCCTCAAACTTTCTTTTCTAGATATATACTGAGTCTTCAGATGGACTAATACAGTTTTGGGTCTTAAATACCACTTGTATGCTGACAACTCCAGTCCTGACCTCTTCTCTGATCTCCAGAGGGGATAGCAAACTACCTATTGGGCATCTCCACCGTATGTCTAAAGGCAAAATCAACCTAATGTATTCAAAACCAAACATCCAGTTTTCTCCCCCAAGCTTGCTTCTTTCATACTCTTCCTCATCTCACTAAGTGATCAGCCACACTTCCGTAGTACAGGGTAACACTTTGGTGGCATCCTTGATTTCTGTTTCTCTCACATTCCACAGTCACTTTACCACCTCCACTACCACCACTCTGGTCCATGCCATTTTTTGCTTGAACTATTGAATGCCTACTAAACTGTCTTCTCTGCTTCACAGTGCAGCCAGACTTACCTTTTTAAAATGTGCCTCGGATTCTGTCACTCCTCCCCTCAGAGCTCTACGTGGTTTCTTCTCATCTACCTCAAATTGAAGGCCAAGTCTTTACATGGCTTCCAAGATCCTGATGACTTCCTGACCTCACCTCCTTATTCTCCTTTCCTCTCTCACTCTGTTCCAGCAACACTGATCCTTGCTATGCCTTGGATGTACGATGCATGATCCTACCTCCAATCTTGAACTCACTATTCCTCTGCCTGGAATGTGTTCCCATGAGATATATTTCTGATTCCCTCTCCCTTAGTCCTTCCAGATGTCTACTCAAATATCATCTTAGCAAAGAGGCCCTCTCTGTCCTCCTTAACAACACTATCTAGTGCCTTACCCGGGATCATATATATATATATAGTAGCATCCCTGATATATTATATAGTTGTCTCCTGTCTTTTTCTCTTGCTCCCAACCCAGCAACTACATTATAGCTTATAAGGGAAGGTACTTTGCTCTTGTTTTAGTTATGGAAATGCCAGTTATGTAAAAGATGCTCAATAAAAAAAAAAAAAAAAAAAAAAGATGCTCAATACATATTTGTTGAATGAATGAAAGAATAAATAAATTTCTTCTCAGTTTTGTTATCATA